CTGCTGTGCCCAAAACTTACTCATGTACCTTTAAAAATAAAAGCACGGGTGGTTTTTTCCCCATTATGCTTTTATAAAAATCCATGCAAATAATTTGCCAGAATGCCTAGGATTTAAAATACGTACAAGGTAGAGAATCAGGAACTTGAACGTACTTGAAAGTAATATGTTTAGAAATGGTGGGAGGCCACATTCCTTTAATATTGTAGATAAAAATGAAGAAGCAGATGAATAAAAATTGGGATAGTATGAAAACTACAATTTCCAATTCATTTTGGAATATATTCCTCAGCTATACAGGAAAAGTATAATGGTATTTTGGAAAAAAAAAAAAAAGTACAAGCTTTGATGTGTTTTTCAAACGTGAAACAATTCCCCCCTTCTCAGTTTTCAGGTTCTTACATGAAAAGAAAAAAAGCCAGAATCTCATTGCCTTCCAAAACAAAACGTTTTCTTTCCCTCGGGGGTGGGCAGCAAATTTTCACTGAAAAATAATAATAATAATAATAACAACCATTTATTTTAATCATGGAAATCTAAAATCCAAATAATATATACTCTATGAAGTTTGTATTTGGGATGGCTTACACAAAACAAGAGGCAGCAGTTCTCATGCCTCCCAGATCACGTTTCAGTCTTAATTCTCAATCTGGGATACTTGCACCCACAACCTCACTTGAGTCCCAAGGCCTTACAAGAAAGTAACACAACAAATGCTTTGGACCAATATTAAAGGGAATAGCAAAAAAACCCCAAAACGCTTAAATGAAGCAGAATACAGAAATTTCCATAGCAGCTCATGCCAGAGGCCTGGGCAGACTAGTGCATTTATTGACTTTAACAACAGTGACTAACAACCATCTCAATGTCTACGATGGAAGAAAGTGAATTAGTTTTAATGGACTATGGCTGACATCAGAATTGGTGAGGTTTTTTCCTCCTCTCTAAGTTACAACATCAAATAATACAATATAATGAAAAATGAGGATGTTTGTACTGTTCTTTCAGTCTCCAGTCTAGACACACTCTATTTTAGATTTAATCCAGTTTATCATTGAGCAACTGATTCTAATTGGTAGCATTTAATCCTTTCCCTTCCCTTTACTCATTTCCTCTCCCCATTTCAGACGCTGCATACACTTACAATTCCTGGCAGACCTTCACCATCATTTTAAAAGCTTGGAGGCTTTCCTCAAAGTAAGTAATCCCCTATAGTGTATTCCTTCCTTTTGTGAACTTCCAAAATTTAGTCCATGGCATTTTCATCCAGAGCCTACATAATAAACTCCTCTTGATCTCCATCATGTAGCAGATAGGACTCTTCTGTGATACTGCACTGACTGTGACACTCTGTCAGCTGTTGGTGTGGTTTGTTGTTTTTCATATGTGTGTGTGTGTGTGTGTGGATTAGGAGACTAATGACAAATTCTTTCACAATATTATATTGACAGAAAAAATCCTAGTAACCCGAAAAATCTTGTGAGAATTTTTCTCCTGAGTACATTTGAAATATAGGAGAAATTCAACCATGATGAAGACACAGCTTAGTGTCAGTACTGCTGTTTTATATTATATAAAACTCTTACAGGATGTGCAATTATTACTGTTTGTACGTAACTCATGTCTTTAAAATCTTACAGTTCTGGCATGCAAATTGGAATGAAGACTGTGGTCCTGTAAAGCACACTAACAGAGCACACAATACATTCATCAAATAAAACCAATCACTCAGATGACTTATTTGTAACTCAAGCTTATCTAGCAACATCCTAGGTCATTTTTGTGTAGCCAAGGTGTACCAGCTGTGATCCTATAAAAGACAGCCTTGTTCCTGGACCCACGCTGAAGCTATCCATGTTTTTCCCACAAAAAAAGTGTGATTAGGAAAAATATGATGTGTACACTAATGAATTCTGAAAAATTCATCTAAATTACCTGAATGCTAATTAGTAATTTTTGTGGGGACACCATGCATAATAAACCAGCCCTGAATTCATCTGAAAGTGAACGTTCAAGCTAAAATAAACCCTCCCATACTAACGCTGAGTAAAAGCACCCACACAGAAGCTTAAAGTGATTTTCATTTAGTAAGTGAATTCAACTAAGCATTCTTAGAGTCTTTTTGTGAGTATAAACTTCTTGTTTCCACTACATCAACATATATGCCAGAGGTACAGTCTCCAGTCCATGAATATTACTTCACTTCCTCGTATTACTTAACTCTCCTCTTGAAAGGTTTTAATGAAAGTCTTCCTAAAAGCTAGAAACCTTCATCCTTTGTCCAAAAATATAAGGGTGGACCTGATGCTTACCACAGCCTGCAGCAGCTGCCTTTCACTGACACCCACAGTGCCCTCTATGCACGCTCAGCAATGCTATTTCAGAAGTTTCTTAGCTGTATTACAGCAGGATTTTCAGAGCAGACATAGACCTAATTAAATAAACTAACTGACTGCATGCCAAGTTTACTCTGTGTTTGCATACCTCTAAAACAGAAAAGAAAAAATTCAGTGGCTTGGCTTGAACCTGAAGAAAAGGTGAATCTAAGTAAGTCATTACAAAAACGTCTCCAGAGCACAGTGAAGTACTGTGCAGAGACACCTCTGCTTGTTCCTTTGCGATTTGGCCTTGTAATGCAGCTGATGCCAACGGCCACACTTACAGCAAGTTCTGGTTGCCACTCGAGCCAGCTCAGACATCCTCACCAATTATTTGCATTGCAGAGGAATAAGAAAGAATTCTTTTTGTTTCTAAAGAAAAAACTGAGGAAACATATGACTTTGCCATTGACTGACATCAGTGAGCCTCTTCTCCCTTCTCTTGGATTTCCTCTCTACAACAAAGCAATATATTACTCCTTTTCAGGAACTACTCAAGAACTGAATCTGTACATTTTCTCCTGCTAATTCCTTACAACTTATTATCACATCCCTTGCAAGCACGTTGATTGGTATGAAAGCAGGTAGCACAAACCCCCAGCATTATCTGACTGGGGATCAGTACCTTCATGGCCGTGGCACTCCGTTCCGTTGCTTTACTACACAGAAATCACACACATCTGTACTTTATGTCCACTGAACATCAGTGGCTTCCAGAATCAGTGGTAGGTTTCTGTTTGTTGCTGCTTTGTGACTTTTTTTTTTTAAATAATGTTTAAGTTTTTACAGACCTGAAGAACCCACGAGCCCTTCAGATGAGACATGATGAAACCAGGATATTTGATCAGACACAGATAATAAAGCAGTTCACTAAAATAGATCACTGTCTGCCTTTTTGGCAGCAGCTTGCACTCACCATGTCCTATTGCAGCATCACAGACAGCACTTCGACTTATGAGTAAAGGTGTTTTTCCAGTCCAAGCAGCCAACAGAAGATGACAGTATCAAAAGCCACTTGTTTTGTTCTGTTTTGTAATGAAAGCAGCTGACTGGCAATACACCACGATATAATGGATTAAGATGATGTTATAATACTGGCTTCAAATGAAATTCTGCCTTGAAGCTAAATAAAGAACCCAGGATACATTGTGAAGTGCTGCTTTCATACTGGAAGCAGCTGAGGTAATAGTTTTCAACTGTTTTGGTATTGCTCTGTACTCAAGACATGCAGTATGATTCAGTACCTCGCTGTAAATCATCCCCCCAGCAAACATCTCATAATGCATTACTTGCAAGCTGTCAAAAATAAAGGATTGGAAAAAGCATCTTCCCTTGAAATATGTTACTGCACCATCAGACCTCAGGTAACAGTCTGCTACATCACATCAAAGAACCTTAATTTTAGTACCTGACTAAAGCAAGGGAACCAGATTATGATACTAGCAATCCAATAGTATGCAAATATTCAGTTAAAAAAAAAAAAAGATAATTTGCTTTTGCATGAACTCTGCTTGCCATACACTTATATGATCATAAAATTATCTTAAGAAAACATTCAATTAATATATCTTTACAATGTTCTAATTTAAGCAGCCCTTTTGCTTAATTGGCCTTACTTGACTCTACTATATTTATTACCTCCCTGCCACACTACAAAGCAAAAATAATACTGTTCAAAAAATTGACATGGTTGATTCTCAGTTATATCCAAAGAGTTCCACAGCAAAATCTCTTAAGTAACAGAAGAAAACACAACCAGAGGAGAATACAGTTTTTATGTCAAAAACTCACAGTGAAAACACTGCGAACTGCACACAACCACTAAAGGGTTCTGACATAACAGATGGGATGTCAGAATAAGACCAACTGGTCTCTGAGAGTGAAAACGCAAATGACAGACACTGAGCTTTATTCTTTGAAATCTGACTTCATCCCCAAGTTCCCTGTGCCATTTGCTACATTTTAGAAACCATTCATTTTGGCCAGAGGAAGCTGTTGATTCACCGGCCATTTCTTCCACTGCTCCAGCAATCAACCATTTTTTGCTGTGTTGAAATGGGATAATAAACATGTTAGTTGTCACAGGAAGATTTATTAACAGATGAGATCTCTGCCACCCACAGTAATTCTTCATTTATTGAGTGGAATTGGAATTTTTGATGAGTTTCTTAGAAGTATTTTCAGATTAGAGATGATTTTACTTAGAAGTAAGAGGTACAACTGCGAACGTTTGAAGAACAAAACACGTAACATTGCATTAAGTTCCCTTAGAAACCGGTGTCAGTGAAGTCACTCATTTTATTTTAATATTTATGGAGCAGTATGATTTAATAAACACGCTGATCCTCTGGATACCTGCATGTCAGAATATCTGCATACTGGGCCAGCAGGACAGCCAACAAAACAGACTTCCTCAGTCCTTTGTGAATTGCTAGACTCATTTATACCATAGCATAACAGCTATTTCAGTTTGAAATTTCCAGAAAATTCAAATTCACCAATGGATGACATTTGACACTGAACAGAACTGGTCAGTTATAATAGCAGTCCGTGTGGTTTACTTGTTAAAAAAAAACCAAAAACAACAAAAAACTATTGCATCAAATTAGTAAAGTAACTTACCACTGGGGTTAAAAGCCATGCAGCAAATCGGCTTTTCGTGTGCGGGGAAGTGGGCCACAATACCATCACTGTCAGAGTCCTCACTGACAAGTACCTGCGTAATAGTAATGGAGACGCAGTAAGGTTAGTAAATTAAAATACACTTAATTGAAAATATCATGTTACTGGCACAGGATTTGTTTTATAGGATATACACAGTGGAATGAAGTTGAAATATGACTGCATGTGAATTAAATACAATCTTCTGCAATTTTGTCAGATAAAGAGTGAGAAACACTTAAATAACCTGCTGGAGGAGCTCAAGGCTGGGTTGGAGGATGCCCTGGGCAGCCTGGACTGATGCCTGACGTAGTGGTTGGCAGCCCTGCCCATGGAAAGGGACTGAAACTAAAAGCATCACTGGTACCTAATTCTTTGTAAAGGAAAAGATATTCTTACAGTTGTGGAAGAGAACCAAAAGATGCGTGGATGAAACATATGCAAGAGCTTAGTAAGTATTTTATTCCTTGGTTACACTACATTATAGACTAACTTAAGAAAAAGAGTGAGAAAGAACTATCAGAAAAGCACTTAAGAAAATGGTATCTGCAGTAAGCAAGAACACCTTCTTAATATGGAGATAATAGTGCAAAATGCCCCATTTCAAGTTCAGAATAGTTTGTTTGCTGCTTCCAAAACAATCCAAAATGTTTCTAATACTTCCTATTCCTAACAGATATCAGAATAATTTGAAGATATTTTTATGCTTCAAAAAGAGAAATCATCTTTAAATGTTTAAAGAAGTCACGTAATATGGATGCAGAGCCTGCGCCTGACTTACTTTAAACGTTCCAATTACTTGGCACTGTCACATAAGCACAATTATGGTTTTGCTTTCCGTTGTCAGCATTCCGTGCTCATTCCAGAACCACTAACCAAAGGGTCTGGAGATCTTCCTAAGAGCTTTTCAAAGAAACTGTGTTCTTTTCTCAGGCTACATGAACTGCTGTAACAACTTCTATGCATCGTCTTTGCACAACCTCCACTTTTAGGTAACAAAGACTTGTCCAAAACATTTCACTAATTAAAAACGTGATAAAGTAGCACATAAACCAGCCGTGCAAACCAAACCGAAGGGCTTCTAAGTCCAATCCATTAAACAAAACTATTTAATCTAAGAAATGTAGAGATTTGCAGGTATCAGCAGCATCTCAGTCACTGCTAAAGCCATCCATACCGCAGCGTGTCTCCTTTTACAGACTGCAAAGTGGATGAATTCAGCATGTACTTTGTTGTTGTATTTAATCTAATGGTAACTGCACCCCCCTCACCATCACTGCTTACAAACAATTTCCTGAAATTACACCTTTATGTTTAAGCTACAAGTTTTTTGAAAAATCTGACACTTCCACTATAGAAGCTGATTTTCTGATGCAGCAAACTTATTTTACCTGCACTACAATTCCACTATTTGTGATAGGAAAAAAAAGGAAGAACGATGTACTGGCATAACATCCAGATGAGCTGAGCCAAGTCAAAACAAAAGCAACAAAAAAACCACCTTCCTTACCAAAAAACCTGGAAATCCTCGGACTGTGGAGAATTCAGCACTCCAGTTGTGACCTCCCTACCGCTGCAGCCTCAGAGTGCAAATACATGGTTGTGAGGCACACAGGTGGAAACACAACTATGCAACACAGGATGAAGTTAAAGAAATGGTCTTCAAATTTTTAAAAGCAATACAAAAAAATCCTTGTTCCTGAAGCAGGAACGTTCTTCTATTAAATCACCAACTTGTGTTTAAATCCTCAGACTGTACTGCAAGATTTGTCGAGCCCTTTCCCTACACTTCTGCGCTGGAGAGTTAGGCAAAACATTCATCACTTTTTACAATTTCAACACTACAAAGGATGGAGGGGAAAAAAAATAAATCAAAGGAACTGCAGCAGTGGACTTCAGCACACCATCAGCCAGAGCCTCTCTGGATGGGTCCCTTCCAGCTCAGAGCCTTTCCAGCTCTAAAATCACAGCACTGGCTTTTACCATCATATATAACTTAAAGAAAACCAAATTATGTTTATGTAATACAATACGTGCTTTATATCAGAATTTATTATTTTCTGTATTAAAGATTATGGATGTAACTGCATCAACACAATACGTGCCCCTGATTACTGCAGGGAGTGGGACCAGATGACCTTTAAAGGTCCTTTCCAGCTCCAAAAGTTCAATGAAGTAGTGCAGATATATATAGTGCAGGTTTCATGCAGGTAAGGAAGAAGACTGGTGCTGTATAGCAATGGAGGAGATATTCACAGCCTCTGCCATGCAGCTTCACAGCTTTCAGAAAACACCCTTAATGGGTGCTAAGCTCCTGGGAAGGTGCTGGAGAGAACAGCATTGGTGGATAGTGAGTGGCACACAGACCAGTGCTGACACTGCACAGCTTGCTCCTTTTGACCAGTTCATGGCTTCTGACCACTGGAAAGAGTGGAGCTGGACATTCTTCTTGGAAATAAGACCAGTGGTACAAATTGCCTAATAACATGTGCACGTTCTCTCAGAGAGCTCGAAGGAAGCAGCTCATTCAGTTTCCCAAAGCATAGAGAAAGACAAATCCCACAGGAATCCCAAGGCTGCAATTTTTTTTCAGTCCAGACAGGCTCTGTTCTCCAAGGTAGAGGCCTCTTAACCACTGTACTATTAACAGTAAAAGGCCCTACAAAGTCTGTCATTGAAAAAAAGATCATAAATTGTTGCATTACTCTTATAATTGCATCATCGTTGAGGTTCTTAGGGATGCTCAAGTATCTTCCTTGCAGAGTTTCCCATCATTACACATAGAAACCCCATTTAAACAAACAAAAACAAAACCAACTTTCCTCCTAAGATGGAAATCGCCACTCTGCCCAAACATTGTCTCACTGAGAGAGCTTTCAAGAGGAGCCCAGCCTTGGCTGGACCCACTGAGCTCTTGTTCCAGTTTTAGTTCTTGTTCTGTTTTAGTCCAGCAGACCACTGCAGTTGTTAGGAGATGGATAAAGTCCTCTTTATCTCACTCCGAAACAGAAACAGACATACACCTAGGGGATCATTACATCTGCTATCAGAAAGCAATGTTTGCACTCAGGGCAGGAGATAGCTTAAGCCGAAGCTTTTTTCTCCTATGAAATATTTTTCTTCATTCGTTGCATTTTCCATGCTGCTGAACAGAAGCCACTAGTAATTATGACTTCAATTATTTTAATCCTTAGAGGCAAATTACACCACTTATCCCAGTGGAGACATGTTTTTAAATAAAACATGAAAGTAACCCAAATAAAAATGGACACAAATTTAATCACGCAGGTCCTACTCTTAATAAAATTAAGAAAGCATGATCTAAGCATCATAAAAACAAATAACTTTGGCAATATTTATAAGTATGAGTATTATATAATAAAGAGATCTGTGCACATACACTCAAGATCTCTGTTGATTTAGACAGCTGAAGATGGGGCAGTGTCCAACCCAGTTCCTATGGCAAATTCACAAACCCCAGCCCCCTCCAGCTGACCTCCCCAGACAGCCTCCTCCAACTTATAGCCAAGGTCAAACATCAGTGGAAAAGGGCTAAAAGTGATAAATCTGTGGCATTAACTACTGCACTCCTTTTAATAGAATCCAGCATAAACTCAAAACAGCCTCATGCTCAGCCTGAACCATTTATCTGAGACAAAAATGTCTTCTTGACAAAAAACAGATCTCCTTTAATAAAGTAAGGCAGACAGTATTATGCTCTGAGGGAATCCTGTTGCTCTTTTTATATTTATATATAAAAAGAATTCTTCTGTAATACACGTAGATATAAAAAGTGAACTAAATTGATGCCAAATATATGAGCATTAGAACATCAAATTAGCTTTTGTGAAAGCTGTTCTTCTAAACAAAAGCCCTGGTGTTAATGATCTGTGGAATTATGTATGTAGTTAAACTTTTATTATTGGATACTTTTTTACCTTCAGAATGAATTTTCACTACAATTCTGCTCCTGATAAGCATCTTTGTTTGGTTCAGTTGTTATCAGCTTCTTAGCAAGTGAAAATGAACTTTCAAAACCGCAGCAGCCTACAGTTTTCTGAAAATTCCTCTTTAATGCAATAAAAAGTTAATAGGGAACAGAAAAAAAGGACCAATCACATTTTAAAACTTCAAAAAAAAAAGATAATGTGTTGATTTTTAAAGTTATTTTTAAAAATATTTACTCAAATATTTTCATGCATTTTGGATGATCTGTGGAAGCAACACAACGATGCACCATCCATCACATCGCTCCACCAAAAGCATTGAGAACCAAGTTCTGTATTTTTTAAACGGCCAAATATTCTCTGTCAACTAAATGTTGGATGTTTAACAGATTTACATTCCGTCACAAAACTGGAGACTTTTGAGAAGGGTCATTATTGCAGACTACATGTGGGTGGCCTGCTTGATGAATTAATTAAGGATACAGAAACAAAGGTTGAAAGAAAATAATTCTTCGTTTAAACTCAAGCCACTAAGGTCTTACACATTTAATTCCAATTATTGAAAAAGAGGACATCTGTACAGCTTTAGCTTTATCCATTTCAACTAATTAACGGATTCAAATAAATAGTCATTACATCTAACTGAAAAGTTTGCTAACACTTCATTAGAGGGAAGTTTAAACAAGCGCACAGCCCTGTTAACATATTTTGGTTTACCACAAAGTTACTTGGGCATCTCAGTAATTATTTTTACTCCCTTTACAAATATATCATGACAGCCAACTCCAATACTTCTACATTCCTATGCATTTATTTAATGCTCCATTCTTTACATTTTCTTAAAGTGGCCTCAATTCTGAAAGTAGGAACTACCATACAGCTGTGGGATATGAGATCTCACTACAATATCTACATTTGTAGACGATATTAAAAATATTTTCCCCATGGATCTGCAAAACCACATTAGGAGACATCTCTGGTTGTTAATGGTGTATTTTTCAGAGGTAAGGTAGCATGTGAACCTACACCACAGTAGCACTGTGCATTCCATGAGGTGCACTGAGTTCCATCCTGCATTCGTTGCATTGGGTATCTTTGACAAGGCAGACTGCATAAAGAATTGAGTGAAAACCTGAAGCTGTACTTCATCCTTTTGTCCTATGCACATCCAAACCATGTTCCTTAATTCTTCTGCTAGCAGCTAAACCTGCAGAGCAGCACAAAAATCTCCCCCCACTGAAAAAGTGCTTCTTTCTCCTTCAAAAGGACTCACTCACTTGCCTTATATTTGCTGCTTTTCTTTTCCATTTTTCTTCTCTTTTAAAAATGGCTTTGTTTCCTAGTTCAGCTATATATTTTACCTCAAAGATATATTTTATTACTTGGAAATATTTTATTTCATCATAACAGGTAGATAGAAATCTTTATAGACCTAAAGGAGGTGAGGCATTGCCTGTACATTAGGAGACAGCCGATAAGAAAACAGCTCTCTGCTTCTGAAATTCCCTTTCTTAGTTAGGCTGCCAACTTCTGAAAATGACATATGTGCACAAACAAATACATTTACATAGTTGCTAGGCAAACCTCTGTTGCAAGGGATAAAAGGTTTTCACACTGGAAGTACAGTCCAGAGAACACATGGACAGCATCACTACTTCTTGCAATTCTCCTCTCCATCACTTCTCTATTTTAACAGAAAGGAACACTGTACTTTGGGTGACCAATCTGCCACAGCAGAGTAAAATAATCTCAGAAATTCATGCCATGAAAAAGAACCAGTGCAGCTCCAACAATCCTACAGATTTCACATCTTTGTGACGCTCAGCTGCCATTCTACATTGAGGTTCATAGGCAATCACATCCACCGCATTGAGATTGCTCGCCTCATTTAAAGATCAGACTTGCTAGAATGCTTTCCTGAACTGAAGTTTGAGCCAATTACGCTACAAGAACAAGCCAGGAGTACCCAAACAGCAGCATGTCATTCCTTACAGGCCTGCACAGGATTGCTGCCAGGCACCCGGGGACAAATCAAGTTGTATCACTGGCAAAGTCAGGCCCTGCCACCTCCAGAGCAGCTGCGTGCACAGAACTGGCGTTTCTGCACGGCAATGGAAACCACCTGGTGTGATGGACAGCAGCTCCGAGGACTGTGAGCATGCACAGCGCTCCTCACACCGGGAGGTTCTTTACTGGGACCAGGTTGGATGACAGCTGTTTTTCAGAGCATATCCAAAACGTGTTGTTCTCAGCAAACTTTCTCTTTCCTAGACCTACATTTCAGTATGAAAAAAAAAGCAAAAAGTCTTTGGTACCACAAAAATCCAACAACATGAACTTTTTTTTTTTTTTTTTCGCAGAAAAGCTCCATAAGATGAATTCTGAAAGTGAATCTTAGCACTGAAAATAAATGATGAATTTAATACTATTTTAAATTTTCAAATAACAAAAATATGAATGTAAGACGTGCAAACAACGAGGGTATCTAAATCAGAGTCTCCTTCCCTGGAGATTCAAGACCAAAATTATTTTACTAGAACTGATAGCTTATTTATGTTACAGCAGCATTATTTGGACAAGGCAAGCGTTATCATTTTTACAACTACTTTTCCACAGTGCCCTCTAGGCTTGATAGCTCCTTACTATTGTTAAGGTCAGAGGACAAGTTCATAAAACCTTTAAATCATACATAAGAAGGCTTAAAACCTTAAAAAAAAAAAAAAAAAGATATATAATTTTTTTCCCCTAGGTATATGAAGAGGAATCAAAGCACGGACAACAACCATCAGAAATAATGACTGCATTAAAAAAAGCTTCATGAGAAATTTATGATGCAGAATTTTTCTTTTTCTTTTTTTTTTTTTTTTCCCCAGCAGGATAAGAAGAGTTAAAGGACCTTTTATTTCCAGGAAATAAAAACAAACCAAAAAATCAGACTTGTTCTAAGATCTGCCGTGGTGAGATGTCAGGTGAAATACGTTCTTTCTCCCATTCTCCTCCTCTTTCTTTTTTATAAATTTTATTGTATATTTGCAAGAATGGCCTCTGATATAAACAATCCCACTGTGATTCTGTGTTATTTGGCTAAATACTTCTAAAATGAATCCTCAGAACAACTACATTTCACACTGCATATTGGGGTGTTTTGGTGTATTTGTTTTAAAGTAAAATATTCTGTTTTCCTCCAAGGTAAGAAAAGAATGTAATTCAGCTACTGACTTCACATTAATATTTACTAAATTATCTGCATTAAGCACAGAAACACAGGGAAAAATAGAAATAAAAAGAAATTTTTTTTTTCCTCTTTTAAATTCAGTAAATGTAAACATTCAGAAGAAAAAAATCTTACAGAAGAAATGAAGTCTGTGAGAGTCAGCATGAATGTTGTCTCCCCGACCAGATACTTAGAACTGAAATCACTGACAGAGATGAGCAGAAAAGAAGCAGATATCTGCTGTCTGCCACAGAGACAATTAGTCCAAAACATCCATTCAAAGTCTATGGGATAACTGGATGGATTTTTCAGTACATAATTTTGGCTGGGGCACTGTAATGTTACTAGAGAAACACTACAAATACCTCACAAAACAGCATCACATTTGATTACATTTTACTGTATGTAAAATGTAATTTATGTTAAATTACAAGCTTTTGTATCTAATATCCAGCTTCCTTTGGAATTAAACAATTCACCGTATTTCTACACAATCACATTTTCCTGCCATATTACATATTAATAAATACCATCAGACTACATACACATTTCAACTGATCAACATAAATCAATGTCAATTAGGAACAAGTGCTAGAGAAACAAAATCTGACACTTCACACTCGATGTTGTCAAAGTGCCACATAAATATGTTCTAAGGACAATATATATTTTGGCGTCGTTTCAGCCCCAAACAGGACTCTGTCACAGCTGTGTGTGCACGTGAAAGTTCCTGACCCAGCAAAAAAATCTTATTTCAGAAGTATAAGATACATTTTCCTACGACTTCTGTCAAAACAAATCCTCATTCTGCTTCTGCACAAACTGCATTACCTGTCCTTCTGCCACAGTCTCCGTATCAATGATGGTGATGACCCCAGGCACCAGAGGGCTCCGGCGAACATTGCTATGAGCTAAAATTTCCTCTTCGGTTGCTCCCGAAGGCAGCGTCCCCGTCAGCTGCGTGACGACTTTCCCCACCATGGTGAGCCCAGTCTTTATCGTCTGTAAAAAGAAACAGAACCAGCAAATAATGCTTAGGGCTCTTCTGTGGGTCTACTTTGAATTTTTCTTTCCTCAACACAATTAACATTATAACCAGACCGTACACGCACACGAGAAGCACACAAATGTTTTTGTTACTGATACTTTAACTGCAAGATGTCGTATGCAAGAGAAATCTCGTATAAAGATTTAGCATCCTACCAACTCGATGTATTGGCTTTTATTTCTGATGCAAATGCTTCCAATACATTCTCAAAAAAATCCACAAAACTTCAGTGTTATCTGACTGCAAACATTTTTCCTTTCTTTAGCTTTTTCCCCTTTGCTTCACCATTTGATCCTCTGAACCCGCTGGGTAAGTATCCAGCAGTGTTACGTACAGAAACAGATTGTGCAGTAATTGAGAATGCTGAAAATATCCTCCAGTACAAAACTCAAGGAATTGAGCCTCTGATGGACAGGACAGATATGTTGTTCTCTCAGAAATTATGCATCTTGAGGCTTTAAAACTGAACATGAGACTCAGAGCCAGCAAAATTAAAGACTCTGACCCTAAGGTGCTGGGAAGGACAACTCTCCAGAATGCACACCCATCCCAATCACAAATAATGTCACTTTCCATAGTCTGCATGTTTTCCAGACGTGGAATTGAAAACATACTAATTGCACTCACTTTCATTCTCTAAAGATGCTGAAGATTTTTTTTTATGGGTTTGTTCTGTGGTTTTTTTTTTGTATGGGTTGGTGGGTTTTTTTCTGTATTTGGAGAAAGAGAGACAACACACACATCAGGGAAAATGGACAGATTCAAAAAATGCGCAAAGCATAACTTGAAATATTTTCTCCTTGAATCAAGGACTGTGTCTTATTTGCTATAAAGAATTGTCCAGATTTATTATGCAATATAAATAAGAAATAGAAAAGGAGATCAGAACGGAATGACACTATAACAAGGCAATTCTTAACTAAAAAGACAAGCTAAGCTGCCTGCTAAATTGAAAAGGAAAAAACGCTCAGCTCACAGGCTGAAACCAAGAAGCAGCCACAAATCAATTGCAACTGCTTTGTTTAGTGCTAAAATCTCAAACTGCAGTGATTAGAAAACACATTAGTGTTCATCAATTAGCAGCCAAACGTTTGTTTTAATAATTCATAGGAAATGACTTACACAAAGTCTGTTAGTGTGTTGTCAGGAAAACCTCTGAAGGGCCAACAGAATTAGGCGCCACACTGTATTGATGGCAATATCCAGCCAGGAAGCCTGATTAACCTCTGAGATGCCTCAGCTGATGGACTCACCCCATTAATGCTAATGGAGGTGCTACCGCTTCAAATCGAGCCATGCCTTTATCATAGGAATGTCTTTGGGGTTTGAAGTCTTTAGTAACATCCTGCCATTTGTTTCTTATTTCTTTTTATACTCAGATGCAACAAATGACAATAAAACAGACATCAACGCTGGTAAATTGACAAGACTGAAAAATGTAACACGAAGTAGATAATAATATCCGACGAGCAGCCCTAAAAGGGACCCAGTGCATCACAAGAGCACATTTCAGCAGTTTTTTTTACCCAAACTGACAAGGCAGTTTCTGACCAATAGTTAAAACCAAATTGAATGCACTGGCAGTTTACACAGAAGGAAAGAGAAATCAGCATAGAAGTAGTGTGCAGAAAATACCTACACAAGTTCAAAGACATAAAGTGTAAGCAACCTGTTTTGGAAAATATTTGTAACTATGGGAACTGAGTGACAACGTGCCAAGTATACATTTCAAATCTCACTAGCAAAAAATTACCATGCTTATCTAGCAAAATGAATTACTGTTGTGTTAGACCAGACTGTGACTGCAGGACTACTGAGAAGTAATAGGTGTACAGAGATGTGGCTGAGGCCATTAGCTCAGAAATATCAGTGCAAAGCCATTACAGCACTTACTTCTCCGTGCTGTGTGTATATTTGTAAAAACTTCTCTGGTAATCTTTAACCTTTCCCATGCCATATCAGCTGTCCCCTCTATCCATTAGAGCTAATGACCTTGCTCTCACATAAGCTGTTAGTACTCATTAAGAAGTTATCAGGTAACACGAGAAAACAGATGCAGCCATTGCTAAATCACTTTACCGCCACAGGATTAAAAGATACGGAGAAAGAATCAACCAAAGAAGTTATTAGGTGAGAAGAATTTGGTTTATAATTTGATACCGGATATTCAACAGACCAGGTAAATTTTAACTGAAACGTGTTAAAATTTGCACTGTCTCAATTTGTCATCAGTGGGAACTGCCAACTCGCGCTCAGTGAAATGTTCTTACAAATAAAATGGAAAATCTTGATCCAATTCCTGTAGGAAGCAGTGAGGAAGCAAAAAGGAAGCACTGTGCAAACGCAAATTCTTTGCATGCTATTTGTAGTTTACTTAAAAGAGCTGTTCACACTCATTCAAATGCAAAGAAAAACATTTAATCAGATATACGCACTCAGAACTCATTTAACTGAAAAATCAGTACAACTTTAATTACTTGAGAAAATTAAAATGCCTCATTCAGTGCCTGATAGGTTGTTCTTACATCTTCTCAGTGACAAACAGAACATTGCTCCTATTCCTCGTAACAAATAAACCACAAAAAATGTATTTATTTATAAATAAAATATCTATAGAAAGCAGAGATATCAAAAAGCTATGCCTTGGGGATCAATAACTAAAAGCCTCATATTTAGTCTAAACAAAATTAACATACACTCAATTATAGATTCAAACTGAAACTAAATACTTGCCAAAATGTCTGTCTTCACAAAGATGTTTCCCTTTCCTGCACTTGTCACATACTTATAAAGCAGCAGGAAAGGGAAGAAAACTATTAACAAATTGATTTTAATTAGCATGGAAAGTTTTGAGTGCAAGGAATTCATGACTTTGGAAGAAGGTCTGCATGGGCTCCTCCAGAGTAGAGTATGCTGGAACACGACTCACCCAGGGATTTGCCAAGACCACGAGTGAGGAGATCTAAGAATGTCTTTTCCTATGTCTCCTTCCTTGCTGTATCCAAAAATGGATAAATAAAACAAGCACCTGGATTTTCTCATCACTAACATGGTTCAGTAGTAACAGGGTCTATTCAGAAAGACATTCTACATCCATTCTACTCTGTTTGCTCAAACAGCAGCAACAGGAGGTAAGGTCTTGGGCTTCATGGACCTTAAAACCTGTTATCCACGCTCTCTGAGGCTAAAGGCTTTGCCAAATGTCCCCTTTTCCGACTTTCAGACTGTTGAAAAGATTTAAAGAGAGCAGCACTTAAGTCTTAGATGTCTACTGGAATATTTTGACAGTCATTTTATGGTTTAACAAAGCTTTGTACTGTTCTTCAGTCACGACTGGGTTTGGCTTTGCCAGTACAGTGATGTGTTTGTAAGTCTTTACTACATCTGATCATAACTGGCTGATTACATTTACCAGCTTATCCGAGCTACTAAAAATGTTAATGATGTTGAGAATAAAGGTGTTTGGGGAAATATGCCTGTTTTTTGCTCTTAATGGTGAAAGAATGAATGGATGCAGCTAATTTCACACAGTATCTTCAGAAGAAAAGCATGTTCCCCTCAACGATGTACAAACACATGATTTTTCTCCCACTTCAACCACAGTAAGATTGTACCCAAAGCTATGCTGATGGAATACGTTCATGTTTATGTTTTGTTTTTACATGAGATGGCATGACCTATGTCTCTTCTCTTTGTGGGTATTTATAACAGTTGTTTTCTTCAGTGACATTGAGCTTTTTGTTCTGTGCTGTCATTTTATTCCTATTATTAGATTTGTTTTGCTGTGTGTATCAGAAATGAAAAGGCTAGTGGTTACAAGGGAAGCTTGTAATCAGCACTAAGTTTGTTAGACAATGCCAAAACTCACTTTTGTGTGTGTGTGTGTGTGAGAGAGAGAGAAAAAGAAATAACTTGGCAAAACCTCATGGAAAGGAATGGGACAGGGTGGGATGGGGGAAAACAGTCAAATGACAGCTCTGCACGGTCTTTGGCTTGTTTGGATTTTTCCAAGCCATGGTCATTCTTTGATGCTACGAGAATGCAGGCATTTCTCTGAAAACAGAGAGATATTATAAAGTCGTCAGAACTACAATTCCTAGGCAATGGAACCTATACATAAACAGTCATTAATAAACTCTAACCTTTAGAGAAAGCTACTAGGTAATTAATTAGATTCAGTACTGCACTGTCATCATTCAGAGATTAAAGCACATAATGCTGGTGTGACTGAATCCAAAAAGCACTAAGCACTTGTAAAGTTTGTTTCTTGATGCTGAAAGATAAATAATACACAGTGCTATTTCCAACCATGTAAAATTGTTGTATTATGAACAGCCAGAACATCAGCCATTTCACAGTGATTTTCCTGTAAGAGGGTCACTAACATGAATCGTGTTTCAACAAATGAAAGATCGGTTCTAAAGGACAGGATTGGTTCATCAAAAAAAAAATGGCTACTCAGAATGGTTCAGAATCAGGCCCTGTATGTGCCCCATCACTAGGATCTTCTTACCATTTTTTTTTCCTCTTTTGTGAATGAGAAGGGGAGAAAAAATAGTACAATTCAGCAGGGAAACCTAATAATTATCTTGCATGATAACCTCTCCCAGCAGCAGATGATGTACTCACTTTGGCAGCACTAATGACTGTGGCAGTGTAAGACTGAATGTTGTCTCCACAGGCTCCACCACGGGACTGATGGCATCGGATCAGCTACAGAAGAAAGACAGCAACCAAGTAACTACTATTAAACTGCACAAACCCATAACCCATTACCATAACTCTTGTTTATCGTGTACAGTGGTGTGCATTTTCCTACAAACAGCAGAAAGCCCTGCTGAGACACTTAACCCCTTTTTATAATCTTCTGGGTGCCACCCAGACTGTCGCGTACGGAACTCCAGTTTTCAATTACCAGTCACTACGAATTCATAAACTTTGAAACGGTGGGATTTGGGGTCTGGCAGCAATACCACAAATAAATTTAAATAAATATAATCAAAAGCTTTAGCCATGTAAATGTAACTTTAAATATCTGATATTCTAAGAATCCGAATGTGGCTTTGCTCTCCTTTTCATGACAAGCAAGCAAATCAATGACAAAGGAAGAAAGCTACTTTAAGCTTTACATTTAATAGATTAGAGGAATGTACGTAGGGTTTACTGCATATTGCCTTCCATCAGATTTAATAAATCAAAACAAGACTCTTCTACCTTCCATTAACCTACAAAGACAGCTCTTGTCACTGAACCCTACCTCTCAATAGCAGCTCTGCTTCTTACTAAATAAAACGGCAAAGACTATGGATATTTGTTACTGGTGCACAGAACACATTGCCTGTTTAACTGTTTTTGCTAAAAGAAAATTAAAAACGCTAGTAAGATATTTGTTCCTAGAGTCACAGTTAGATAAAAAGGAAAAGAATTAAACTAGGGAGAAAGGGAAAATCCACAGAGGATATACCTGGGAACATGTGGCTATTTAAATTCATTTTCTGATGTAATTTTTTGGTTGACCAGCAGTTTACACTACTGGCAGTAGCACTTTCTGAATCCCAAGCTGACTGATTGTGTTTAATAAAACCACACAGGTGTGACATTAAAGGAAAGACAGTCTCCAATTTGCAGAGAAATCAGCTGTGCTCTGAAGAGCTTAACAACAAACATGTTTATAAAGTCTGCTTCTCTGATGATTTCTGATTTGGCACTGAAAAACAGCTATTCCAGGCTCAGGTGGAAGGGAGAAAAAACATCTGCTTTGAAGTAAAAACAAGGCATTAGAAGATGAATTTAAAGTTTCCTAACACTTCAAGCTTTAAATACGCAGTCCCTTCTCTGGCCCAGGGCAGGGTGAAAAAGTGATAATTGTTTTGTTTGGGATCTATTTCCTTCTTCTGTCCAGAAATAAGAAAAATTAATTCAATCTTTTTTCTTTTTCCCCTCCCAGAACTTAAAAAATTCAGTGAGGACAGATTTCCTAATCTACAGAATGCATTGCTGTGTTATCAAACAAACGCACAGCTCTGTTTCGACTGTTTGCCAGCACAGACTTTAAGAATCCTCGCTTCCTACCTTTCAGAGGAGTTTTAAAGTTTACAAATGCAAAACACATTGGTTACTGAGTCACTCCCTGACCGTAGCCATTGATAGCTCTCGTCTCTGTCTGTGCTATTTATGTATTTATGCCCTCCAAGTTCATGAACTTACATCAAATGTGCAAAGCAAAGATATGACACATACGAATACCGAGGCATGACTAGTGCAGGTCAAAGATTAGCTCTGTCACATTATGCAAGTCCTCTAGGAAAAGATCATCTTTTTCACATAGCTTATTTCTGAGATTGTTTCTACATTTCAATATAGCTTTTGTTTATGGAATAGGAAGAAAAGAAAGTAAGTCCTTCCTTACCTTATTTTCTGCATAAGCAAGCCAACGGCTTCCAAGGGCAATAGGATTCATGTTTGGCCCTGGACAGGGATAGCAGCCTGAAAAGTTTTAATAGGCAGCATTAAGAAATATCTTACTGACTTGTTACAAAGAATTTTACTTATTGCCAAGAAAACAAAAAGTCTAAACAGAAACCTTTCAGTTGCTAATATCACTTAGTAAATGCTTGCATTTTTGTTCTGAAAGATAAAACTGTGGTTAGATGAACTATTTTGAATAGTTAATTATGTGTAAATACCAGTTTTTCCTTATGCTGGCATTTTTTAATGTCATTTTGATACAGTGCGGCGAGGGGGATACTTAAAAGATTGCCTCTATCCATTCTGTATCGTCACATCCTAATTCATTTTGCTTCATTGACACGTTTCAATTGCTCAACACTTTCTGCTGACTTCCAAGCTCCTCTGGATTTTTGTGGTGTAAAACAAAGCATTGTACTTTGGTTTGTTTTAATATTTCTACATACAAACCTCCCAAAAGACTTCTGCATGTGCTTAACCTTACACAATGGATTTGTCTTTCCTTTAAAATCAGTGGCAAAGTTTCCATCGTTCATCTGCTTTTTATTAGCTGTGTTTTCATTAGAAATAGATATATACATATGCATAAAATGAAAATAAAATGCACAACAACTGGGAATATCATGCTATTAACGACTAAAATTAAAAATAGAAAATTTAAATCCACTAAAAACAATTAGATAACAGCTAAACATGAATTAAAAGCTGACTTCAGGGGCTGCTGTGCCAAGGTGGGAGGCTGAAAGTTCACAAACTGCAGTTGCAGAGATGAAACCACAGACCTGTTTACTGATTAGGGTCCTGATAGTGGGATTTGAGCTCGAGTGTTCCAACTTCAGCTGGCAAACAAAGGCCTCCAGCCACAAGCACAGTGCCATCTGCTAGACCTGTGGCACTGTGGCATCACTTTGCAGGCATGCAGGACAATGAGAAAGGTGTGCTGGGGTGGTGTTACCTAAGGAGTGCACGTATAGTTTGAAAAAGGAATTTGACAAACTGGCATTTCACTGTCCTCACGTACAAACAGTTTCTCTACCGCTCCTGCAAAGACAAACAGCTCCTTATCTCCACTTTTTAAAGCAGAGTGCTGAAGGTATTGCAAAATTTGGAAGATCACAGCAAGCAATTTCAAAGGTCATAAAGCAAGAGAAGGGAAAAGCAGCAATTCATCGAATTACATCAATCTCAGGCCAGGAAAGCAAAACCGAGCGAGTATTTTGTAAGGCCTTATCACTGCCTTGATCTCAGGAAGGAAAACGAACTCTGAAGAGATGATGCCACAATTGTTATTGCATTCCAGAAGTGCATAAAATGTGGGTAGCCAGAGACTCTTAAGGAACAAAGAAAGAAAAAAAAAAGGTTGTAAATACAACCCTAGGTTGTAAATACAAACCTATTCTTCCGATGACATTATAGATCATGACCAGTAAGGTTTTAATGCCGACTTCTGCTTCAGCAGTTCTTGTCTGGGTCAGTAAAGACATTCAGGTTCCCCAAAGTCTATTTATTTTTCTCCGTTATTATATATAAAATAGATCATCAAAGCTGTTAGATGAAAACTCTCATGACTGAAATCTCTACAGCCACTTTATCATCGCCTCTTGCGTTTCCCAAGCTCTGCAAGCACCTTGCAGTGTCCATGCAGCAGAAAACAGAAGGGTATCACTAAACAGATGCCTCAATGGAAAAACACAAGCAGTGCAGCAAGAAGAAACTTCCATATTGGGACAGGGAGCTGGTCTCAATTATTGCAGTGAGCTGAAGTAATTGAAGAACTACAAAACAGCATTCTTCTTCAAATTAAAAATTAATCAAATACAAAAAGCAGTTATCTTAAAAAATGGACTGTTTTCACCAAACCTATTGTAGGTGGGTTGTTCCACGAACTGGATTTGGTCAATTAGATACAGCTCCACACACAAATCAGCCAATTCTAATAATATCCTCCGTAGAGGTCAACAATTCAACTCGGTTCTAAACTCTTCTCTCTGATACAAAAAACAGAGTTAAAAAAAAAAAAGAGCTATTTCCTCCTTTTCTTTTCTCTGCAAATCTATGCATTTTGGAAACATGCAGCAGTACAAGGATAAACAAAGGGTTATACTTTATGGGAAGGAAAAGCAAATTGTTTTTCTGCTTTCCAAAAAAACAGCTGGAGTCAGCAGAACATCATCTACCAGGCAAATGAAAAGACAGACACAGCGTGACCCACCCGGCTCAGCTGCCCAATCCCTGCTAGCCCAGCTCTCTTAAAGATTAACTTCTATTTCTACTAAACTTCAAAACAACTGAGGAAAAATCCATTCTAAGCAACAACAGCAGCAACTTTAGCATGTTTACAATAAGAATGAACACAATGAGAATGCAGAACTAACTGTCAAGAAGACCAAAGTTTCCAAGTTTTAATGACAGTATGGGGAGGTCATCCAAGAAAAGATCACGATGGGAAAGTCCTTCCAAAAGTACAGCAAATCAAGCAAGTACAAAAAACACGAGACCTTACAGCGAGCCTTATGGGGACTATTACCCACGAAAACATAGGAAAAAACTACTGGAGATGCTTTACAATGCTTTTAAGTACACAGTTGTCCTCTCCCTTTGTGCTCTGTAAGGACACACACAAGAAATACACTACTTAAAGCTGTGAGATGGCTAAACTAGAAAAATACTGTTCTGAAAGTCCAAATGAATCCAAGCAAAAGCCCTTCTGTGGCCTCGACAAACCCCTGAGCACAGCAGCTCCAGCACGCTGCATCCCCACGCAGGGACAGCAAAGTGCCCCCGAGCCTCCTGCTCCGGGCCATGTCTCCCAGGTCTGACCTACTTCAAGTGGTACCACAGGTTGATTCTTCAACACCTCAATTTCTGTTGTTTAGCATCTTCTTTTAAACTAGCATAAAACTTCAGTATGAAAAATGCAGAGTTTGTGATTAATTGGCATCTGAGATTCCAAGGTTTCTTCCTGTTGCGCTGCATTTATATATTTGTTTTAACTGATTACTTAGGAATCCTAGAAGTTACTTCAGGTTCTCCAAAGAGCTATACAAATGTTTGCTTAAAGAGTGACCAAAAAGGAGGCATGTTGATTTTCCATTATTTTTCAGTTACTTTCGTGACAATCTGCCACTCTGCCCAACATAAAAACAATCACCTCATCTTCTTAGGCTGAAAATTCACATAAACATCCAATCCTCTCAATCTGGATCTTTCCACTGCTCTTTACTCCTACAGAAATTAAAACTCCAGTCCGTTTCTTAAATTGTTTTCATGAGACTCATCTCCTAGCTTCAACAATGTCCGTGTGAATACAGAGACAGCAGCCAAGAAGAAAAAAGCAACACATTCCTCTCCCCCTCTTGCTTTTAAACAAATAGCAAGTTGGGAAACACTGCTAGGAGAAACAGGGCCATTATAGAGTCACGTCAGCCATAAGAGAGATTAAGGCAATAAATCACAAACATGCCTCTATTAAAGGCAGCTCTCCATCAAGCTGCACAGGTTTTTCATGTGGAAAAAAAAAAAAAAAAAAAAGTTTAAAAAAAAGATGTAGAAATAAAATCCCAGTAGGAGATGCAAAGTCGAGGACTGAATGCTGCGAGGATTTCTGATGGCCATAAAAACTTGGCAGTTTGAACTTCACATCCAAGCAAGCATTCCTTGGAATCCCCCAGGCAATCATGTGCCTCCAGCAGCTCCATTCTCCAGGAGACTCTTACAAATAGCACCACGAGATCCAGCAGCACCTTCACGGGCACTCTGCATCCTGAAGCACAGATGTGCTCTACTCTAAGAGATTGCTGCACACAAACCAAATAGAACGCAACCAACACTGCCTGCTGGAAAAGATAACCATGCAGGTGGACTACTGCCCCAGTTCAGGCTGTAGCGTTCCTGTCTGGTCCCTCTGCTGCAACATCCTGCATCGCCTGAACGGTTCTAAATGAAGAGTGAAGGCAGCTCTGATTGCTGCAAAGTGTTCAGGTTTAAATGTGCACCAGAAAGCAATGCTTCTCTCTAGAAAAATCTGACACTAAGTCAGAACTTGTTTTTCTTTTACCTAAGCTACATACCTATAGCTGAGCAGGGTGCCTTCCACAGGGTCCTGCTGTATTTCCTTCTCAGATTGCATTACAGCACGTTGTAAAACACCCTGCTGCATACTGTTGCAAATTAATGTGCAAATGAATAAAGCAAAGCGAATGAAAAGTCAAATCAGAGGTGCCCTTTCTTTCCTCAGCTCTCACTGATGTTCCATGCATTGAAACACACTCATTCTTTTTGGTATCAGCTACAAGAATGATTCTTATTATTATCATGCCCTTTTCTCTTCAATGCATGTTCCACACCTCGTATCTGGGAGGAATGCTGATTTTCAGTTGCTGGCTGTAGCTTGTAACCAATTAATAATTTTTTTCTAGGTTTTATAAAATACACAGGACTCTGGAGTAATGAAATTACAAAATTACTTTAAGTATTGCAATCCAAAGCAGTCAGAAAACAGATCCATAACAACAAGCATAGAAAGGGTATTAAAAATAAATAATGGATAGAGTGATACCCTTGTTGAAGGGAATTGTTTATTCCAAGGAAAACAAATCATATAAGCTGTTTTATCTAATATTTTGTACTTGTTTGTGCTTTTTTTTTTCAGCTTCACCAAGCAAACCAAATCTATTTGTTTATAAACTGTATAAAGTAATATTGTTTATAAAATCCTTCGGGTTCCATCTAGATGAAAGGCCCTATGTAAATGTTAGTGCTCTCACACTGTCACATACTTTCCAAAACTTGGCTATTGTTTTTGTACTTCCTTCTGTTTAAATATCACCCATAAAAACTGAGCAAAAGAGCAAACCAGCAGGATGCACCCTACTGTGAAATCATGCTTGCCATCCGAGGCTTTTTTTTGATGATGATGATAGTGGCCTTATTGTTACGAGAACTCCAAAGAAAAAGAGCCACCCGTGAGTGAAGCCAAAAAGTACAGCCACAAAAGTACAGCCACATGCTGCTATCGTGGGCCTTTGCAGTGCAATATTCAGATCCACTTCATGTTCACAACAGCCTCAGACCTGCAGTGCATTCGATATAAACACATATACCTGCATGTGTGTATACATATATATATAAATTGCTAAGATACAATTCAAAGGAATGTTTGCTTCTCTTCAGTGATCAAAAAACACTGTGAAACAGGAGCTTTCTTCCCACCTGCTTCAGGACTTTCGATTTGCACTGAAGAACCTCCCTTCCCAGACCCAGGAATCCTATCAATTATTATACCATGTGGGATGTCCAGGATAAATGCCACTTACTGATCACAGTCGAGAAGGGAATTGCACATTCCTCAACAAGTTCTGTTTGTAACTCCTCAGGCATTAAACCTTCTCATGAGACCTCCATCGTTTTTACTTCAAAGTGCAGAGAGCAAACTGCTCCCTGTGTGCCTATCAGGGAAAAGGAATTCTAGCAAAGCTAACAAAAATGTTCAAAAAAAAGCCAAGATGATTTCCAGATCAGACAACTGTGACAAACTGAAAGCAATGTATTACTTCTTGCAAGTGAACATCAATGAAAGTAGGAATACCACATCCAAATTGCAGAATGGAGTATCAAACACTTCTTTCCTTATTTTGAGACACGTGGGTAGGGTGTATTTAATATATACCAAATAAGTTTTGCTTGTGGCTAGGCAAGTCTTTTGAGACTTTATATACAACAAAGTACTCTGACTAAAATCTAGAAAATTAGCTCTTAAGGCTCTAGCTGTACAGCATCAATAGAAATGTGGTGCCTGCTAATGGCTGCAATAACTGTCTTCATCCCTGGAGAATTATGGATGGAGAATATATCAATAGCAGGAGTGGAAGGGCCAGAGAAACTGAGCAGGCACTCGTTATCGGACACAAAGATGATGCCACTTGCATGATGTTATCTGTGATAATCCTTACTTAAGGTCCAGGGGGTGGGCAGGATATTCGTTACAGAGAAGAAAGTATCCATCAGGCCATATTCATAATCATCAATGTTCCACTAAGTAAGCATTTTTGGAAGAGGTTGTGGGAGCACTGATGTAATAGAAATCAATGAAACTCAGCTTTTCTGCATCTGTCCTTTAGAGCAAAGTAGGAAGAGCAGCTTGTACATCACTTTTGTCTTTGACTGTTCAATCACAGAATACTCAGAAAAGACTCTGAAGGAAATCTTATGTGAACTCCTAACCAGTTAAAAATCTGTTTTCCACACCTTGACATTCACAACTACCAAAAGGAAATGTATTTTTATTATAGGCTTCCAATGACTTTTTGATGCTTGGCCACATGAGCACTTAAAACAAGTGCTGGTTACAAAACTGCTATTTGGCTTTATGCACCCCTCCATGCACATCTCCTCTTAATGAAACTGAGCTGGATTCAAGCATAAGCACAGCAGCATGGAGTGCCATAGGAAAGCCCTGCCACGAGCCCTCTGCAGAATGAAGCTACGCCTTTCCTTCCTCGGCAAGTAAAAAGGAGACGATCTTGCTGGGTAGATCAGAGGACATCCTGGTCTTTTTCTATGACTACCAACAGGAGGTTTTCCAATCAAGCTGAAGGAACTGTAACTCAAAACACTGAGACTGTTGCACCTGTACACTGATACTTCTTACAAGGCTCTGCTGGCTGACTGCATTCTGGCAAATCAGTACTTTTGCATCTAATCACAAGCACACACAAAAGAAAGATAATTATATCAGATTTGCTCAGTTGATCTGAAAAATCAGGAAGCACAAGAGTTAAACACTCCAACGACAGCACAAACTTGACTATGTTCTACATCCTGAATATTTTATGGTATATTTATTACAACAATATATTAAGCTACACATTTAACCACAAAAACAAAAACAGAAAGACAAATACTACTCATGTGCAACACAGCTGCATTAGCATTGCTGAGGAACATCAAACTTGAGAATTCCTGACACTGTTTTTAACCGTACATTCTGCATTTAATTTCTATGTGTAAATAGTCAACAAAACGGGCAAAAGCTTCTGCTTAATTACGTTTGCATTCTAGCTGTCTGCCTGAGGTTCCAGGGCTCCCACGCTACTCAGCTGATACAAACGGAAGATGTGATTTGCCCATCATCACTAAGTCCTCTTTTAAAAACATTTTCTTTTTCCACACAGTAGTTTACACAGTAAAGGAAACATCTTCAAAGGCCTACTGATCCCATTTTAAATTTCTGACCTTCTAAGCTACCACTTCTGACCAAAAGCTGTCAGCTAACACAGCCGAGCATCTTCTCCATGAAGATGAATCCTGTGGGCAGTGCTGCTGTCGTACTGCCTGGGCTGCAGCACACTGGGATGGCCCCAGAGGAAGCGGCCAACCCTACTGCAGGGATGCTCCAGGCATGGAGACAAGGAGGCCCTTTGCAAAGCTGCCTTTACAGAGATTTCTCCTTCTCCAGTTTAAATTGACACTGCCCTTTTTCTATATTAAAAAAAAAAAAAACAACAAACTAAAAAAACCCACAATGACACAAGAGTCCAGCTGCTGGCTACTTGGTTGACTGTCAGCAACTGAAGCAGTTGACCAGGTAGAGCATTCGTACCAAACACATCAGAGTAACTTAAGTCTCTAAAGATGTATTCCCAGGTCAAGGAGATTTCAGCACATCCATAATCTGAAAACTCAGACAAAAGTTTTACTGGAGCCTTTAATGAGCCAAAGCACAGCACCTGCTTGATGGTGCAAGCAATTAAGGGCAACAATGAAGTTTCCAAACTCTTAGCACATGCTGGCACCTCCCTGGCTCCAGAGAGGCACCAGGGAACAGCACACATGGCTCAGTGCTACCTGGGCACAGATGGGCAGCAGTGGGCACAGGAAGTGCTGTGTCCCCACATGCACAGGGCAGGATGTAGGGTGCACATGGAGCCCCACAGCAGGGAGAAAGGTTGGGAATATCCTGGGTTTCTCATGTTACAAACAGCACAACTGGAGAAATACAGTGGGAGCTGTGGCATCTCAGAGCTGGGATTTTCATATCGGAGCTGCAAAAGCTTTATTTTATCCTCTTTAATTCCACTGTTGTTTCACAGAAAGGCATGGAAGTGGAAATTCAAAAGTTACAGTGAGGAAAGGATATCCCCATTCCTCCAAATACAGTTAAATTCATTTCTGAAAACACACTGAAGGGTTGTTTTTTTTTTTAGCTTGATTGCTTTTTACCAGCTACTTCAATTAGAAAAGCATAAGAATTGTTAAAATATATATTTAACCTAGATGTGGGTTTTGGCTTGTTTGTTACCTGCAACAAAGCAAGGCTCATACTCTGCCTCTCTTTGGTGGAATAAAAAAGAGGAGCAAGGAACAGGAGGACACCACAAGTCCCTTCCCATCTGGCTCTCCACACTGAACCCAAGCAGATTCTTATGCATCTTACATCCACGTATAGGAAGAAACTGACACCTATTGGCAACTTTAATATTACTGCATAGTGGTGCTCCAAACTATTACAGGAAAGAGCTTCTTGCAACTGGGTTTTTCTTGATATGCACAGATAACACAGAAAGATAATTGAGAACTTTTCTATTTGTAACTGAAAATACACTCAGGAAATTTCAAATTTCCTTTCTAACTGTGAAACACCAATTCTTCCAAACTAAGTTATCATCTTTTAATAGTCTACACATTTTAAGTGGCAATTCTAATTGACAGATGCTAGTGCTATCTACATAGATTAAATTTTATTTTTTCTGCAGTGAATACCTCCTTAGTGTTCAGTATTACAAAGACACAGGGTTTGTTAGCAGGTAAATTACATCCTAATCTTACCTACATCAGCAACAGGTCAGAGCAAAAGCATCAGAAAACATACACTTCTCTCTAGTAACACATTGATTACTTGGTTACAGATGTTGGGGCAGCATAGGGACACTTACTGTAGAGGAATAGATGTTGGAGAGCCTTCCCTGTTACAATCAATTGCCTGCTACTGAGAGGCAAGCAATAAGCTACAGCCGGATACAGGAGTCAGAACAAACAGTTCCTTCAGGTTCAGGATATACGTAAAAGAATCTGCAGGCAAATACTACCTGTGGTTTTACTACTGCAATACATTACTGACCTACTTGAGCTCTGGGCCCTGCTGAAGTAAGGATAAACAAAAATCAAATACACCTAAGCTTAAGAACAACAGAAAATAACAAGTGTACAAATTGTTACCAATTTGTTTCCAAAAGGTTGCTTTCACACACAATCCTAAATTCAAAACCTGAACTCTTTGCACATATTTGTGCAAAAGAATACTTCAGCCACCCAGAGACATCAATGCAGGTGCTTGCCAGAACTGTGAGAAATTAATTATGGCAACAATAAACGCAAAACAACATGCAAAAGAGCCACAGAGTCACAGAGTAACACCTGTAGGTTTTTTGAAGCAGCAGATTTCCTGAAACCTTGGCTGTAGCCATGGAGACCTGCAGAAGCTTTCAGGATTTAGAAGCAGAAATTTTTAAAAATCTGATTTGTCTTGTGCCACCTCTAGAGCAAAACAACTGAACCCAGCACGATACCTACTTGTCACAAAGAATTTTTTAGTGAAAGTGCAACTGTCAAAGGCAGCGATTTTCTCTTGCAGGACTACGACGAGTATCCTGAAAACAAAGAAATGGAACGTGTACTTTAAACATTAAATGCATTGGTTTAAAGATTCAATATCTAAATGTAATTATTTCAAAAGCATCAATATAAATTTTACTGTGATAAAGTGCCAGGTTACCAATACATGGCAGTTATTGAGGATTCTCTCTCATCCCAACCACATAACCTTCATTTCAGGAAGTACACAGATCTGATACAGAACAACACAGCGTATTTATGATTACCTTCTGCAGTAAAAGCTCCATTAGAAAGAAAGAATGGAATTGCAAGGATCCTGAATTACTTTCAATGACTCAAATAACAAATCAACAATTGGTAGAACACAAGCTAAATTTGAAATAATCCCACTGCCCATCTCATTGCAAATTTATTAAACCACTGTGTTGGTCTTTATTAAAAGCAGGATTTCTTTTCATGCCGAGGCCATCACTGCACAAACCTGTGAGAAATCTGTGCCAATTAGAAAAATTACAAGTGCATTTTTATGTGTTGTACATGTGCACCTTTAGAATGTAAAATATCTGTTCGCCACCTGGAGAAAAACCATGACAGCTATGTATGAAACACCATACTGCCCAAATGAACAAGGGCCAAGGATGTAGATTTGGAAAGGGCAACATCTTCAAAGTGTGGAAACTTCTCAGTACATTTCCTTTGGTAAATAACAACTCAATGAGAGAAACTGACATATCCTAAATGTAATTGACTTCAGATTTTTTATTTGCTTCTCTCTTCTATTATCAAAAGGATGCCTCTCCATCTCTTTCCAAGTTACAAAACTCAAATTTTATGCATAATCTCTGCACGTATGACTTAATATTTGCTTCAAATAAAACAAAGTTTTTTCACTAAACAAAGCATTTTCCATCTCCTAGAACAAAGGAGAGGAAAAGAACAGAAACCTATCAACTCTCACTCCTTCCAAGAGGCTGAGAAAAAAGTTACTCAATGAATAATAGAAGGACCTTCAACTTATGTGCAACTGTAATGTATATATAAAAAACTATGTATATTTGATTGTAATATTTCCCAATCTTGTTAGATTTTTGTTTTCTGCTCTTTGAAGGAGGTACTGTCATTCCTTATAAATGAAACCTACCTGATGGATGATTCTAGAGTATAAATACATAAATAATAAACAGTTCTCCCTTCTGCAACTCAAGTTTTATTTTAAACTCAAAACTTTGGACTCCATTAGTCTATTGTATGGTTAACGCACCATTAGCACTGCACTTGGCCACGTTTAATGCATTTTCAATCTGAAATTGTGAGCTTTCTGTGGATAATAACAGAATCTGATACGTTCCAGAAAAGCAGCTACCCTGAATACAGCCACACAGCTTTGAAGTAACTTTTCCATTTTTACCACTTAGGAAAAGAAACATTAGACCTTTTAGTTAGGAGAGACTTTGAATGATGATTTGCCTTTTGACTGTTTTTACAATTGGATTTTTCTTCTGCTAGGAGGCCAGGCTGGAAAGATTTACTATCATCACACTGTACACAAGGGAACTTTAAATTTTTCAAGGGATAGTTGCACAGATAAGTACTGAACTCCTTCTGACAGGCCTTTAAAGGAGCAGGGACCAAATCCTGGCATGTAACTCAGCAACTCAATCACTGCAGTTGATCTATTTCTTGATACAGTGACCCTACCCACACCCATGGCATGTACGTTGAATGAGGATAACGAGCACTACAATCCTTTACTTCTTTAAAGAAGTTTACACCACCACAATCTCATTATATAATTGGTTGTGGTATTAAAGGTGTTTGCTCAGCAGTACTATTCTTCTTCTGTTTGCTTTCACTTGACCTAATTTAAAACATTAGTGTTTAAACTGGGCAGGAAGAAGCATCAAAGCAGCACATATCACGGACTTGGGTCAAGAAGTTCTACCAGGAGTACCAAAGGATTATCACCAATATCATCATGCAGAAGATGGATCCTGGGTTTTCTGGTCTCCTTTAAAAATATACAGTAAACTACAACTATGTTCAGTTTTCTGTGTCCAAAGTTCAGAAAAATCTGAACCCATGACTGCACAGAATCGAGGTATTTACAACCTGACATTCAATCTTCCAAGTCAGAAGTCAGCTGACAAGTCCAAGTAAGAGATGCTTTGTTACTTTACTCAGGAATTGTTCTCCATAGGGCACAGTATATGCTAGGATTTTTTCTGGATGTGCAGGAAGGTAACACATCTTGCAGAACCATGAAACACAAACAAAAGAGACAAGCCCTACACTGCCAAGTTAGACATCATTTAAACTGTGATCTCATTTCTCCATCTATAGGCAGAAGACAAAGGATTCCAATGATTCCTGTTCACTCTCATCACAATTTAGGGAAGCTTAAATGATTTAATATGCAAAATGTTTTGCGCTTCAGGGAAAGGCACTGGAGAAGCATATTGTTGTACTCAAAATATTACTTGAGAAACAGCAAACAGAAGATAAGCTTGCAGCAAAGTCAAAATAGTAAAACCAAGGAGTGCTCACACCAGAAACTGCACCCATTACTGAAATCCTGCAGGCTTTAACATAGAAAGAAATATAGTAAACATCCTTACCTTTTATTGCAATGCAGATCATAAATAGGAGTTTTGAACTGTATAGACTTGACCATCTCTCCTGTTCGTAAAGAATAAAGGTCCACACAGCAGTAAGGTGGGCTCGTGCTAAAATGAATAAAGAAACGTGGGATTTTAACAGAAAGAAGGAATTTTTGTAAAGTGATTTTCGTATTACTTCAAGACAAGCCTTCATACATGTAGCAATAAAAGCACAATGCTGCCAAACATGGGACCACTATAAGCTTCCTACATTTAGGGAAGGCATGATTACCAACTGGGTTACGATAGCCACAGTGGTCAAAAACCTTACTGTGCAACCAATTAGCAAGCACTTAGCTTCCTTTGTCCCAAACTATGACTTTGGAACATCAGATCCGACACCAAATACTATTCGTTTAACAGACATGAAGTTTTTAGGCTACATTTAAGTCATTTTAAAAACATCTTACTGAGTAACACTTCCCTTCAGGGAATACTTCATTCTGTGCAACAGCTGAGCCACATGACTATTCATTTGATAGAGACGCATTACACAGAACTTACATTACATCTCTAATGAACTTTTGTTTGAGTTATATAGATCTCTTCAACTGCTTCATGTCACTTTTATCATTTAAATATAAATAAAACTCATAGGGCCATTTCTTAATAAAAAGGCTTGCTTTCTTTTGAGAGGGGAAAGTGCTGAGTGTACCGATAGGGCTGAGGAAGGTAGTGGTGGAAACCATTTTACAAGCTGAGGAGAGGCTTTGATGTGGCAGTTCTTTTCCATAACACCTTTTTTCCACTCCAAGAACACATTAAAATGTTGGCTTCTTCTGGGTCAACGAATATGAAGCAGCACAAATTGCCAGCTGTACAAACATTCGCTAAGTATTGGTAAAGGAGGGTGTTTCCCCTTACCCCTATCTGTTTTATTTTATGGAGTTTAACACAATTCCTGACACAACACTCACTTGTCCTTTGGATCTACTCAAGTCGTTCAAGAATATTCTGGAGAGGAAGAATTCAATCCCCAACTATCTACCTTAACTGTTGTGAGACAACAAAATGCTGCACACAATACGTACACAACAGAGAGCCAATATACCATAAAAGCAAAAAAAGACAACAGCCAAAGAAATAATAGAAAAAATAAGTTTGACATTTTGCCTATGAAAATTCTTCCCAAAATATACATTTTTCTAGGCACACACTCAGGCTAATAAGTAGAGGGGTGCTATTTTTTACTTTTAAGCACTTCAAAGGCCCTTCAAAAACACGTTTAAAACAATAAGGCTCAGGTTTAGTTTCGTTGTGTTGGAAGCTCATTGCTGCTACAAAATACAGAAAATCACAGACAGAGTCTGTGTACAAGCTTTTCCTCATACAAGCACATTGACTACTGAAAGAAAATTATTATTTTGAAGAAGGGTACAACAATTGTTATTTCAAAAACAGGAATTACACAACCTCATATAGCTAAAATTATATTTGCATAAGTGAAATCCATTATTATTTCCATTAAAGCTCATGTGGAACATAACTATACTAACTGTTCCACTGGACATGTACATAATTGCATGACTATAATTCAAAAGCACACATCTAATACACACAGCACCCTCAAAATTATTGGAAACAATCAATCTTGCACTCAAATGAGTAATTTTTATTACATCATACCTCTCTTCTGGCTGCTTGTGAGAACATTCTATCAATGCTTTTTGTGAGCTGCACTGGCTAAAAACCAGCAACCTTTGAATTCAGTGCTAATGATGAAGTAGGTCGCGTGGACTGGGCAAAAGTACTCTAAAATTCTACTCAGCTCCAACTCAACTCCTCCTTCCAACAGTCTTTTCATTCCCTGGTACACTGCAATCTGTGACCAGAAAATGATGTGCCAGGTTGTTGGTGTTGGTTTTTTTAAATTATTTTCTGAAGTACGTAAGAAGTCAAGGTCCGATAGATTTCAGAAAGCTCATGGGACTGAATATCAATAGTTTCAAGATTTTAATTTCATTGTTCAACAAACCCAAATAGAAAGGATTCTCCAACACTTCAAAATTTAATTCCTTCCCCAAATAAACTATTTTTTGACTACTCAAAAAATGTGAGCCTTGTGAATGATCTTCCTTTACCCTCCTTCATATCTTTCATCTTGCAGCAAAATCAGTTCTTCCTAAAGAGGAAAATGAGGATTACAGACACTGATCTAAGCATTCATTTATGCATCATAGCACTTAGAGAATAATAAGAGCATCATGATTAGGCTACACTGCTCACAGTCAGTAATAAGAGCTCACCCTCCCCCATTTCAGTGATGTCAGCATGGTGGGTTCTGTCCTTTCTCTTCCCAGACTCCAATATGCAATGGATTCTATACTGGCCCATTTTAGCTTGTTAAATTAGCAGACAAATAGCACTTCGTCCTTTCTTTTCCCCTCTACAGGAAATTCTCTGACAGGTTGGTGCACCAAAAGGGCCTAATGAAATGTCTAACAAGCATGCAAGGAAGATAGGAAGTAAGAGCACAGGAACTGAGCAATAAAGGATGTGCAACAGGGCTGCAAAAGCTGCAGCTGGCTTGCCATCACAGAGCTGCCACATAACACATTTTTCTGATGCTCCTCCGACATCTTGGTAATTCCCAACCTTCTTGAAACAGAGAATGCAGGGATTTCCATCACCAACATAGCAGAAGAAGGTAGACTCTATGATGTTCTCTATGTTCTTACAGTTGAAGATCTCAAATAATCCGGGCACCGTTTCTAAAAGCTTGAAATCTGAACTCCTTTTAACTCATTATTTAAGGTGCACATTAAATCAAATCTTCCAAACTCAAACGTAGAGAATGAGTGCATTTTGTCTTCTTTGATATCACTTCTGCCATCTATTTTGTTTGATTATTCTGTTATGAATTTCAGCTGCAAAACCAGATGCATCCAAGTTGCCAAAGAAAAGCACCAAAACCACTACGGATTGCCAGACAGAGCCTAAAAAATCTGCAAATCATCTCAGAATTGTATGAAACCAGAAATATTGCATCTTGCTCTATTTCAGGAATACAAAATGAACACTCATTTCATCAAAGGTTCACACAGCCACAGTGTAAATGTGCCTGAAATAAGCCAGCTGATGGCCTATGACAACAAACTACCGCTATCAAACAGGAAACAAAGCAGAGGGACCTCTGGCCAAAGAGCTTTCCTTCTGATAATCTGCAGCGCCAATGGTTGGTGCTTATCTCATTGGTGAGAAGAGTCTGGTCGTATTTCTGTGTACCGTGATGGTTATGTAAAGAGGAAAGATTAAGACAGGAATGTGACAGCGCTGGTTTTTGCGGTCTGGTAATTACGTTAAGTCTGTCACAAATAAAATTCTTGCAAATTACTCCCACAGATTACGAACAAATTTTTGCTGTGTATCCTGTTTGTTAAATAGCTGCTTAAGGAAAAGATAACAACAACTGCTTTAAAGATAACGGGCAAAAAAATTAACAACTTCAAAACATTAGCATTAATAAATGCACAATAATGCACAGCTCTTATATCTTGTATTAGATTGTTGCAGTGCAAGGACAGAAGAAAAATAACAGATGCCTTGTACAGCTGGCACTTGACTACATCTGTGCTTATGCATCACAACATAAGTATCACCTCTTCACAGATTTGTTAGCAATGACTCACAATTTATAAAAGCTATGTAAAGTGTTTGCATACGGAGACAATGTACAAAACACACAATTTTTCCATGAAGAATGGACAAGATTGGTGGAGCCAAAGCGAGGCTGTCATTTTCTGCTCCTAAAAAGCCTTTGCAGTACTTTCCTACAAATGGCAAATTCCTATGTAAATCTCACTGTAGAATTTTAAAAAACATCTCAGGACAAACAGTGTTTGACTGGCATAGGTATCATCCCTACAGCTTTTATTCTCTCTTCACAGACAACGAGGCAGAATTTCTAGAAAATGAGATCAAGGAAAGCATCTCCCTCCACCTCCTTTTGCTCTACTTATATGCAATATAAGCACAGTGAGATGTGCAGGGAGGCCCCTTTGGAACAATGACAAGTTAGGAGATCTCAACAAATTTTATATAGCAACAAAATCACTAAAATAATAGAAACAGCCTTCATTAGGAGAAGTATACAGTTGTACAGCACATTGTAGCCATTTCCTATCACCTGTAGTCCTTTATAGAGACTCTGCAAATTTCTTCTGAAGAACAGTTCAGTTATTATTGATAGCAAATGTGGTAACAAAACGAATTCAAGTGAATTTAAAATGCAGGATGGAACAAGGGGAAAGAGCTTCTTTCCAGATGCAGTGCACGAACTGATCTTTGCCTAAGGTACCATTCTGCAGAGTGCTGTGTGTTCTTTCTGCCTGCTGGAATTGTACCACGTTCAGCCCATCTTCTAAATTACACAAAGAATTACATTATGTCTGCCTTGTTCTGCACTCTCACAAGGCAGTTCCTTACCTTATTTACACAGGACAAATATTACACATACTAGCAGCAAATATCACACGTACTAGGTTTCCTAGAGTAATGATCGTCATTTCTCTTTTATAGTTTCCATAATAAAATGAAAATTCCTTCTTGCTCTGTCATGTATTGATGTTCCTAATGCACAGGACAATATTTAAGGTTTTCAGAGGGGGTGGAGATGTAAAAAAACACATCAGCATAATTATAATCTAACATATAGCCATAAAAAAATAGTCTTTGATTTAATCACTATTCCAGTTTTGATACTTTCAGGTATTATCTGGCAAGTTATATAACAACATTCAACAAATTCCTACTTGAATTTGATGGGGTTGAGCCACGCAACCGTACCAGTTACAAGTTATATTATATAGTTAGCACAAATTATTTATTGTTCTAAGTACAGTATATTTAGCAAGCTATTCAGATCAGTAAATTTAACAGCACTTGCTAAGCCACCCTCAGACAGCAGGTCACAGGCTTCCAGTCAAAAGCAATTTGACTTTTGCCACGCAGTCATTCCACGGTTACTGCTGGTTTACATAAAATTATTAATTCAAACACATGGCAATTATTCTGTCGAGATCTGTCATCTTTGAAGTTTTGTTTCACAGTAGAAAAGCTCCTTTCTC